CAGGGCTCCTTGCAGGCATCCCAGACTGTCTGCTTCCCCAGCATCTCCCTCTCCCCAACAGTGCCTCCCAGTCCCAGGGCCCTGACACCCCACACACACCTGCATCCTGCAGCAGCACCACCCCCCCGCAAGCCATCTCCCACCCCAGACTCCCATCAGCTCACCAATCCCAGCTACTAAGTCACCCTTCTGTTACAACTGATCTCCACCCCAGCGTCTGATCCAGCCTCCAAGGAGCGACCCTCCAGGGTGGTCTGTGAGGGCTTCTCCCACCAAGGTGGTGCTTGCCTGTCAATCAACCAAAGGGCAGAGCTTGAGCAAAAAAGGAGCCCCCAAATGCAGGTCTGATGTCCCTCACTGACGGTGAGTGGGAGTGCAAGGTTCCCACGGTACAACAGGAGTCCTCCCTCCAGACCAGCCTTGAAAACATACCAGAGCTTCTTGGGGACCGAAAGACTCTTCAGCAAGCATCTCACCCCTCTGCTGTCTCTGGGTGGTGCCGAGTCAGACAACTCCAGGCAAACGCCCCTCTGTTCTTTCCCTTTTCATTTCCCGAAGAAGGAGCCCACAGTTTTTGGTAGGTAATGAAACTGCAGGACATTTCCATTGACTCAGTCAACAAATATTTGCCATGTGCCAGTTACCCCGAGGACTCTGAGGACGTGGCAGGAAGCAGTGCTCAGCAGCTCCTGATCCGATGTCTCATTTACCTGTCTTTATAACTGCCATTACCCAAGAAACCAAGCTCCGGGTTGCAGATCTGCTGCAAGAGACCTCTTTAAAGTTTTCAAAACCAAAGATGTCACTTTGAGGACTGAGGAGCACCTGACCCAAGCCATGGTTTTTTCAATCACCTCACATGCCTGTGAAAGCTGGACAATGAAAAAAGAAGACTGAAGAAGAATCGAGGCATTCAAACTGCATGGCTAGTGAAGAATATTGAATATCCCATGGACTACCAGAAGAACAACCAAATCAGTCATAGAAGAAATACAACCAGAATGCTCCACGCAAGCAAGGATGGAGAGACTTCAGCTCGCTTACTTACTTTGGACATGTCATCAGGAAAGAGCCCAATTGCTAGAGAAGGACATCACGATTGGTAAAGCAGAGGGTCAGTGAACATAAGGGAAACCCTCGGTGAGATGGAATGACGCGATGGCTACAACAGTGGGCTCAAACATACCAACGATCATCAAGACGGTGCGGGGCCAGGCAACATTTCGTTTTGCTGTACATGAGGCAACCATGAGTTGGAGCCGACTCCATGGCATCTAACAACACAACACAACACCCTGTACCAGGCCCTGTGCTGAGTGCTCTCCTGATGTCACTTCAGAGAGTAACTTCTCATCCCCACCTTACAGATACAAGAAGGAGCTTTCTGCCACAAGTCCCCACCCTATGCCTTCCTCATCCTTTCTCTCCTCTCTAAGCTGGGGACCCCAATGAATGGTCACTCTCTTTGGACACATTCCCATCAGGAGCCCCCACCCACTGGACGCCAGCTGCTCTCGTCCGGGGCACCAATGACCTCCCCATTGCCAAATCTAGCAGTCCACGCATCCGAGTGACAGAGAAATGGGAGTGCTGCAGGAAGGACTCTTTAATGACAATATGACGGCATGTCTGTACATCGATGTGAGCAATCCAGGAGAGAGAGGAAATGGCTACAGAGAGGAGGAGCTGAGAAGCGACTGTCTTGAGGAGGCCAGAGGCAAAGAGGAAATCCTTCCCTACAGGTGGACAGCCTGAGGAAGCAACACGCTGGACTTGAAGTCAGCAATTCAAATTTCTTCAACATGTGTGGTTGTTGTTAGCTGCTAAGAGTAATGAAAAAATTTGGAAAGGGATAGAGGTGGTGGTTATACCCCATGGTGAACATAATGAATGTCACTGAATGGCACATACAAAAATGGTTGAAACAGTCAATGTTTTGTTATATATATTTTTTAGGACAATTAAAAAATATATATATTGATGGTAATGGTTATAGCACAGTGAATAAGAAAGAATCCATTCATCCATAGTGATGTTCAAAAAAAAAAAAATAGGAAGGAGGGAGGGAAAGCTCTTCTTTAGAGTATGCCAGGTTAAAAAAAATTAAGGAAGGCAGGATAGATATAGAGAAATCATTACTTTGCAACCCCCAGTGTAATAACTGACTTAGGCAAGGATCATCAATGGATGCCAAAAATCTTGGCAAAGGATTGTGGGTGAACATGACATTCATATGGTCTCAAAGTACCATCACCTAGAGTCTACTTACTCTTTAAAAAAGGAAGAAGTACCTTTGCGGTGGGGAGCTCTGTTGGACGCCGCTTTAATTAAGTGATGCTAATTGTTGTCGGCCATCATCAATACTGGGACAAGCCAACATCGTATGTGCCTCCGCATGTGAAGTGCTGCAGAGGACGCAAGCCCAGCTCTGTAATATTCTCACCAAAAATGTCTGACCTGAATCTAACCATGAGCAAGCAATCAGACAAACCCAGACTCTAGGAGCCTCTACCGGACAACTGGCGGGACTCTCCAAAAATGTCAAAAAGAAAGAGAGGGGGGAAGGAGGTTGTTCTAGATTAAAGAAACCAAAAGAAATGATTTTTTAAAAATGTAATGTGTCATCCTGCATTGGGTTCTGGATCAAAACAAACAAACAAAGAAAACAGCAATAAGACATTTTGGGGACAACTGTGGATTTGGGTCATTCAGCCCACCTTGGCTGTCGTGAAGACCCTCTGTGATAAAGCAGGTGGAGGCTCAGCACAGGGCCTGCACCTGGCATGCCCAGGAAGCAGGTAAGAGAGAGGCCCCAGCACCCCTGCTCCCCTTGGGCATGTGCACCACACAGCAGAGCCAGAGAGGAGAAATGAGGAAGAGCAGATGACCCCGCAGCTCGCGGCCCAGGCCTGGGAGACAGCCACCTGGGGGAGACAGGCTCAGAGCTGTGGCTGTACACCTGTGATGGTTGATTTTATGTGTTAACTTGACTAGGCTGTGCTTCCTAGTTGTCTGGCCAAACCCTAGTCTAGATGTTGTTATGGAGGAGTTACCCGTGCGGTTATGGAGTACACCTCCTCACTTATCAACTCTCTCATTAGCTGACGTTTCGCATTTACGACAGTAGTAAAAGATCTACTCTCCGGCTATTTTGCACCTTAATGACGTATGTCTGGCAGTAACAATAGCCGAGGTGTACGGTGAGGGGAATGCTGGCTGTGACAGTTAAGGTTATACGTCAGCCTGGCCGGGCGATGATTCTCAGTTGTTCGGCAGTTATGCAATGATGTAATTTGGTAGTTACGTAATGATGTAATCACCCTGTATCTTGTGATCTGATATGGTCATCCTCCATTTTCACATAACACCGATTTCACATAACAACCTGGTCTTTGGAACCTAACCATGTCGATAAGTGAGGAGAGGCTGTAGCGGTTGTTCGTGGCTGTCCAGTGGGCTCCAACTCATGGTGACCCTAATTTAATGTGATTAAATCAGTTAGACTTATGCTCTGGGCTCAGCCGCCCGGGTTTGTATCCTAGCCCCGCTGCATTAACTATAAACTCCGGGCCCCAGTGTCATCGGTCAAAGGGTGATGGAGAACTTACCTCCTAGGGCCATGTAACAATTAGACAGGACAACCACGTAACGCGCTTGGAACAGCGCTGGCACACAGTGAGAGTTCATACACATCAGCTGTTATTAAAATTAAAATTATTTTCATCTCTCCATCCCCGAACCCTGCTCTTCCTGTTCCTTGTCTGGTGACGCTTCACTCACTCTTCAAGTGTCAGCTTAGACTTCCCATCCGCAGGCCAGCTGGGGGTCCTCAACCCAGAGCCCAGGGCACCTTACAGCCCCCATTAGAACTGAAGGGAGAAGGGACTGCAATTATTTGATAAACATCTGTCGACTCTCAAGGGCAGGGATGAGGTCCATATCACTCGTCAATGGATCCGCAGTACCAAGCACTCAGCGGGACTCATTAAACATTTGATGAAGCAATATTCAATCTAGCCACCTATCAGTCTTAGGAAAAATCACTAAACTGCCCTCAGCTGGAGAAGTCAGACAATAAAGCCCGCCCCTCACGAGAATAATGGGTCATGATTTATTTGGTAATCCGTGCACTTACAGGATGTTTGCTGGACCTGCTCCCCTCCTCCACCCCGGTTCCTAAGATGAACCGTGCAGGCCTGAAGGCATTTATGGAGGGCACAGCCAGCCGGGAGCTAAGCCAGAGAACATGCTCCATGATCTTGCTCCAGCACCCCTGCTCCCCTTGGGCATGTGCACCATGCAGCAGAGCCAAAGAGGAGAAATGAGGAAGAGCAGATGACCCCGCAGCTCGCAGCCCAGGCCTGGGAGACAGCCACCTGGGGGAGAGGGGCTCAGAGCTGCAGCTGTACATCTGTGATGGTTGATTTTATGTGTTAACTTGACTAGGCTGTGCTGCCCAGTTGTTTGGTCAGGTATGAGTCTAGATGCTATTATGGAGTAGTTACATAGGACTAGATCAGTTGGCCTTAAGCAAAGTCTTCCTATAATGTAACGTAATGTAATGTAATGACCTTCCATCTAACGTACTGTGATGTAATTACTTTCCATAATATAATCTAACGTAATGTAATCAATCCGTTGAAGGCCTTAAGAGCAAAAGGGAGTTTCCAGACTATAAACAGGTAATCTGGTAGAGCTCTCACCTCACTCCCCCGTTGTCTGACCTACACAGCTTGAGACCCAACCCTGTAGGAGTCTCCAGCCTGTCACTTGATGTATGGATTTTGAACTTGGCAGCGCCCCACACACACACGCATTTGCACCACCGGGACTCCTTGTGAGTGTGTGTGGTGTGTATCACTGGTTCTGTTTCTCTAGAGCACCCTAAGACAATGCCTATAATGCCTACTCTTTGTGTGGTCCAGGCCCACGGGCCCCTTCGCTGCAAGGTGGGGTGGAGGGGGAGGCCCTCGCCGTCCCTGTCCCACATGTCCACTCACCCAAGAGCTTCTGCAGCACCTGCCCATCGTACAGGTCCTCCTCCAGCTGCTTCACGATGATCCTTTCCTCCACCAGGACATCGTTGACCCAGTCGATGAGGACCTGGAGAGAGGCAGACATCACATCCTCACCCTCAGCGCCATGCTGACAGGCAGGAAGCCCAGGCACTGACACGCTGACAGAAAAACACGGGGCCCCTGCACGAGGGCTGCAAGCCAGGAGGGGAGAGGGAACTTCTCCTGGCCCATGGGGTGGGCGAGAGCTCACGCACCCTCAGCCTCTGCAGCCGCCGCGAGGCTGCCGGAGTGGCGGATATGCTAACTGCCCCAGAGAACCCTGGTAGAGGGGAGACCCTTCTGCAGTGAATCCAGGTCCTTCCCAGCCAGGGACTTGGGTAAGGTGGGGGAACAGATGTTTGTTATGTGCCCGCAAGTCAATTCCGACTCATAGCAACCCCACATGACAGAGTAGAACTGCCCCAGAGGGTTTCCTAGGCTATAATCTTTATGGAAGCAGATCTCCAGATCTTTCTCCCACAGAGCTTCTGGGTGGGTTCAAACCACAAACCTTTCGGTTAGCAGCCAAGCATCAACCATTGCGCCACCAGGGCTTCTTAAATGTATACTTGTGTTTGTTGTTAAGTGCCGTCGAGTCAATTCCAACTCATAGCAACCCCGTGTGACAGAGCAGAACTGCCCAATAGGGTTTTCTAGGCTTTCATCTTTACGGGAGCAGATCGCCAGGTGTTTCTCCCACGGAGCTGCTTGGTGGGTTCGAATCGTCAACCTTCAGTTAGCACCCAAGGGCTTAACTGTTGTGCCACCAGGGCTCCTTGGGGTAACAGTAAAGGGGATGATGATACCTGCCTCCTTGTGCTACTGGCGAGAAAGGGACTCAGTGAGTAAATCAGGTTAACACCATCCCATGGGCCCCTGGGATAGTAGGAGGTGCCATAAACGTCTGTCCCCTCCCCTCCCATGAGATCTGTACCAGAATCATCCCAGTGGCCCTGAGCCTGAGGCTGCAGGGTGAAAGGGGCTCCATCAGAGGTGTAGCAGGGGGAGGGAGGTACAGAGGGGGGCACTTGCTCCCAGGCGCAAGTCCAAGGGGCGCCAGATGAGGCGTGGCAAATATGAAAGGCGCCTGACAGATGAGCTGGACAAGAGGAGTGAAGATGCATCTCCGCCATCAACGCCTATCATCTTGGAATCGGCAGGAGGGGCGCAACTTCGAGATCTCCCCTGGGGGCCTGTTACAGTCACTACACCCCTGGAAGCATTCCCGGGCCTCGAGGCAGGAGGCGCCCCAGACCTCTCACCTACTTCCCGCCCGACCGCTTCACATGAAGGGCGTTGCGGCCTCTCTCAGCCTTTTCTTCTCCCAGCTAAAATCCCTGAAGAGGCCTGTTAAGTAACGTTTGCTTCCATACAACACACTCTAATTCAATCAAGTACTAAAAGAGACCAGCGTATCGGCGAGGGACGAGTGACTCTGGGTCCTGGCTAATTAACTGTGGGAACGCCAGCCTCTGATTACCAAATGTCACCATTAGGAAGCAATCACTAATCGCTGCTTCCCCACCTGCCCGGCATCTTCAAACCCCCAGGACTTTGCACACGTTCTCTTCCTTTGCCCGAGTGGCCCTTCCCTCTGGAAAGTATTTGGCTCTGCCCCTTCCTGGTAGTGGAATTTGGGGCGTCTGCACCCCTCCCCAGAGAAAGGTCACCCAAATGCACTGCCTGACACTCCGGGGCACCCCATAGGGTTGAGTAGGCACGCTGGCCCCTGCACTTCTCTTTTGATGGGGGACCTTCTAGCCTGTACTTCCCTTTGCTCCTCTTCTGTCCCTGCCTCCCAATGGGGCCCTGGGTCTGGCTGTACCAGGGACGCATGAGCAGCCAGCACAGGCCCCAAACCGAGTGAGCGAGCAGCCACAGCTTCCACACCAGGATTAGCCCTGCCTGGATCCTTTTTGGCCCCAGGGAGCATCAAGAAGACAGACCTGAGGCTCAGGCCCTGAGCTGGGGCTCCAATCCATCACCACCCTTGCTGCTCCCCCTACCCTGATCACCGTCTGATTTTACGGATGAGAAAGGGCACCTCGAGGCGCCCCAAGGGGCTCCGTGGTGCAGGGCAGGCAGCCAGCATGTGGCAAAGCAGGATCTACACCAGAACCCCGGCCCAAGTCCCAGGAGGTGAGTCGGAAGACTCTGGGGTCAGGCCCAGTGCCAGGGGGACTGCCGGACAATGCCCCACTCCCAGATCTCCTCCTCGGAGCAGAAATCCACTAACTGAAGTCCCCAAGGCCTTGGCCAGCCTCCTTCGTTTTTAGCAGCTTTGTCAAGATATAATTCAATACTCTACAATTCACCCATTAAAAGTGTACAGTTCAGTGGTTCTTAGTACATTCACAGGGTTTACAACCATCAAAAACCAAAAAGCCAACCCAGTTGCCGTCGAGTCGATTCTGATTCACAGCGCCCCCGTGTGTGTCAGAGTAGAACTGTGCTCCATAGGGTTTTCAATGGCTGTGAGCTTCCAGAAGCAGGTCAACAGGACTTTCTTCCAAGACACCTCTGGATGGATTCGAACTGCCAACTTATCAGTGAGTAACCAAGCACTTAACTGTTTGCTCCACCCAGGGACTCCATCAAAAAACAAAAAAAGCAAACCCATTACCATTGAGTTGATCCTGGGTCATGGCGACCCCACGTGTTACAGAGTAAAAATGGGCCATAGGGTTTTCTAGGCTGTAATCTTTATGGCAGCAGATCACCAGGCCTTTCTTCCACGGCACTACTGGGTGGGTTCGAATTACCAGCTTTTAGGTTAGTGGTTGAGTGCAAACCGTTTGCACCCAGTGACCTTCGGGACTCCATCACCAGCATCTAATTCCATGGACCCAACAGCAGTCATGCCCATGCCCCCTCCCCAGCTCTTGGCAACCACTAAGCTACTTTCTCTCTCTATGGACTTGTCTATTCTGGACACTTCGGATAAACAGAATCGTACACACGTATGGTCTTTTGTGAATGGCTTCTTTCACTCGCCATACTCTTGTCAAGGTTCATCCATGGCTTAGCATGTATTAGAACTGCATTTCTCTTCATGGCTGAGTATATTCTGTTGTATGAATGTACCACATTTTGTTGATCCATTCATCAGCTGATGGACACTTGGGCTGTTTCCATTTCTCTCAATCATGAATAGCGCGGGTATGAACATTCACGTACGCGTGTTTGTGTGGACATGTATTTTCAGTTTTCTAGGCCAGCCTCCCTTGTTAAGTCCTTTCTCACCAAGGGTTTTCCTTTCCACTCAAGGGTTGATACCTTTTACACGAAAATAGTGTCAACCGGGACATAGCTACGGAAAATCGGATTATCACTGAACAGAATTCTATCTGGCCCACCCCACTCACAGTACTTCTACTCCACAGAATAACAAGGGACACTTGAACAGATTTGATCAATAAGATGGAGTTCGTGATTTTCCTGTGCAAGCAAAACAAATAAAATGATCTAATTGGTCCCAACAACCTCTTGGGAACGGTAGTTTACTGCCCTCTCAGGGAGGAACGAAAAGTGCACAAATCCAGAATATATCGTTATCTGTCGCTCATTGCAACCACGGCAACCCGCAAAACTGGCGACAAAGCACATTTCTGTGAAGTATATTCTAGTTTCCCACTAACTCAAAAATACTAAATCAGACACACAATCCCATGAAGAAGAGAAGTGAAAATAAATCGAAGGGCGGTTTCGGGGAAGAAAGAGGCGAGCAGCCACGTGGCACTCGGCTTTTGTGAAAAGTCACCCCCAAAAGGCCAGCAGGATACCACCAGTAGACCAGCACCCCGACTGCTTTGCCTCTGAGAGCTGGAGCCACGTGGAAGGAACAGATGTTCAGAGTCCAAGGGAGGCTGCATCCAATCGCCCTCCTCCCGCCCAGACTGGCCACTCTTCCTCTCTAAGCGTTCTTTCTCTCGTACCCCACAGACACTGTGTGTGCCCCGTTTTCCACCCTCCTTTCTGGCCATCCTTCCCGTTTCCTCTGACCTCTAAAAGACGTGTTCCTGGGGCACAGCCCCGGGCGACTTCTCCTCTGGCTCTATCCACTCTGCCCAGGCCAGCTCATGGCCTCCCACAGCGCCCGAGGCCAGCTCTATCCCAGAAACCCCTAAACGTAACGTACACCCCAGCCTCCACACGATCCTTCTGCTTGGGGGCCCCATGGGCGTCCCTAACTGAACTCATCATGCCGAGCCTGCTCCTTTTCTGAGAGGTAATGGGACCACGACACACCAGTTTCAAGAGCCTAGACTTCATCCCTCAACTACTTCTGTCCTCTTCTTGATGTGGGGTCCACTTCTCACCGTGTCCTCTTCTCCACCTTCGTCCAAACCACAGTCACTCGCTGGGCCACTGCCACGGCCCCCCCGGCACCCTGCCTCCTTGCTGGTGCTCGTCATTCTCCTGTCTGCGTCGGGGCCTTTGCACATGCTGTTCCCTCTGCAGAACACATCCTACCTCCCTCTCTGCTGGCCAGCTACCACCTACCCTTCAGGTCTCAGCTTCCCTTCATTCCCTGACTGCCGCATCCCACAGAGGCCACACCCCCATCATGGCTCTCACGACCCACATTCCTCCTTCCAGCCCTGTTCACAGGCGTGAACAACTTTTTCTTTGTAATGATCTCCCCTATGAGACGTTAGAGGTCCCTGAGTGGCACAAAGAGTTAAGTGCTCACTACTAGTCGAAAGGTTGGCAGTTCAAACACACCCAGAGGTGCCTCAGAAGACAGGCCTGGTGATCTGTTTCCAAACGGTCACAGCCTTGAAAACCCCTTGGAGCACAGTTCTACTCTGCACACATGGGGTCGCCATGAGTTGAAATCGACACAATGGCACCTAACAACAACAATTAGGCTTTAGGCTCCATGAGGGCAAGAACTATGGCTGCGTCGCTGGTGGCTCTGCGCCCAGCAGCCAGCACTCACCCCCGGCTCTAGTGCTCAACAAGTATGTATGAAATTAATTAGTCACTTTACTGAGCACACTGTGGGCCCGGCTTGGGACGTAAATAGGACAGACAAAGCCTCTG